ATTATAGCCTTCCTGTTTCGCGTTGCGTCACTCCTGTTCTTTAAATTGTATGTTTTGTTTTGTTGCTGTTTCTTTTGGGTGGGGCAAAGTCAAAGATATTCATCGAGCACAGTTGGAATTTAGTTGCTTGGAAGGATTGATTTGATTTTTGAGTGAGTCTGATTTGAGTTTGAATAATATTTTTATTATTGAGTTAAGAGAGAGTGCGTGAGCAAAGAAGAAAAATGATTAGGCAAGTGACTGAGTGGACTCAGTACAGGAGTGCAGGCTGCACACGCTAGCATTTACTTATAGCGTAGATATATATATATAATTGTTTATGACGACTTTCATACACGAATCTATATATGTAGTGTTCTTCTTCCTCAAGACAAAACACATGGTGACTTCAAAAGCCTGACATTACCCAAATTCTCTCTGACTTTCTTTTCATGTGCCTTTGCTTCTTTTTGGGAGGCAGCTTAGGCTTTAAACCACCAGACCTTGGTTTTCAATATTTTGGCAAATTATATTTACTACTGTTTATTTTCTTTTTCGAAAAACAATAATATAGCCGGAATTCTGAAAAAATTATTTCTTACACCTATTTTTTCTTGCAAAAAAAAAGTAACTCTTATTTTTTTAGTTATTTCATAATCACATATTGTTTACATGATCCATAATTTTTTTTCGCTTGGCTGTGCTTTATGTGCAGACACAAGGGTTGAGCCGAGCACCTGATAGCATCACAACTATGCACATACTATTTGGCGAACAGGTTGGTGGCCATATGATACAATATTAAATTGACAATTTGAATTGGATTTACATATATATACCCTGCAATAACTTAAATTGTTATTATGAAATTCCAGAATTCAGATAAATTATATCAAACAAATATGTGAAAGCAAATTTACCATCTTACATTTGTTGGAATTAGTTGATCTTTGTCATTTCTCTGGAATAAAATTTTGAAAGGATAATTTTTCTTAGAACTCAAAAAAGAAATTGTAAAGCCTTAGACATGTAATATTATCTTTTTCCATTTATTTATATATGAAATCACCATGAAATGTGGGGGGGGGGGGGAAAAAGCTGGTAGCCTATTCCTTGTAGACATGTAAGGAATCATGTCAACCTTTGAAACAAAAAATTAAAAGGCCTCCTCACTCATCAACCCACCCCATACTCAAAAGCCTTGTGCCCAACACGCAAAGCCTAAATGCCCTCTTACGTTATTCTCCTCCAGCACTGCTTTGACTTGCACCACCACAACCAAAAAAACATAATATATATATATATGTATATGTATATGTATATGTATGTGTAATATGTAGTTGGATGATGGGTGGGGCTCAGAGAAATCATGGCGTGAGATTCTTGACTCAAAGGATAGTATTTGTTAGGGGGGGCGGGAGAGGTTAATTATGGTTTGGTTGGGTGTCTATAGGGTTTCTCAGAGATTTTGTTGATTGTTTGTCCCACTTCTCTGCCCTGCATTGGATCCTGAGCCATACACGTACAAAAAGAATTAGAATGAAGTTTTGAAAATCCAGCTACTCCATAAATCCTGTATGATAAGTAATTTAATAACTCATTTCTTTTTCCTAAAATGAGAGATAGGGAGTACAACCTATTTCCAGTGAACATTACCAGTAGATAGGGATTACCATTAAATTTTAAGCAAAGAGACTAGAACTAGAGTTGTCCCTAATCTGGTTAATTACCTAAAAATATTTATTTTGTGAGTGTGTTAATAAAATAATAGTGATTAAATTAGATTTTATTCTAATAAATTATATGATTTTAGTGAAAAAATATTTTTATGATAGGTTAATACACAATATAATCTCTTTATATATAAAAAAAACTTGTTTAATTTGCTTATAAAATAATTTTTTTTTATATAAAAACAAGGTAAATTTTTTAAGATATGAAATATAAAATTAGAACTGAATGCATGATGAGTTAGCTTGTTAATGTAAATCTAAAGGCAAAGACAACACTCCTCTTTGTTCCCTTCCTCACGTATCCACTTTTGAAATTTGTAATTTGTGTGCACCACCATGATTGCATGCCATCCCTACTTGCCTTTTCCCCTTTTCCTTTCTCTAACATTTTACTCAATCTTCTTCTCCCCCTCCCCCCCTTCCCCCTCTCTGCCATTATAACCATAATTAAACCTCTCTCCCTCTCTCTCCCTCTCTCTCTCTCTCTCTCTGGGTTCTCAGTATAAATGCAGCTCTGCTTATACTTCCACACCTATATATATATACCTGACCCTTCTTCACCTCCTTCATCCACCTCCTCCTTCTTCCCCAAAACTTTCTTAACTGTTCTCTGCATACATATATATCCACATACATATATATATATATAGAGAGAGAGTGAGACAGAGAGGTTACCGAGGCAATTGGGTGAGTAGCTCCCTGTTGGAGAAGCAGGGCACGTGCAAATTCTCCATGGCTTTCCCCTCTTTGCACGTGCTCCCCTTCTCCAACATGGGTTCCTCACCTTTCCAACTCTCTTACAGAGACCCTACCCACTACACTATGCTGCATGTATATACTATATACTACATTCATATACATACATATATATATATATATTCCGAAGTTTTTGTCTATGATTAGGTACCGGTCAGTATTTTTTTAAAAATTTACTTGTGTTATTTTTTTTTTAATTTGTTATCAAGTAGAAAATATTTTGATATGAAAGGAACATGTTCTAAAAGTATTTTAACTTTAATTCAGAAAAATTCGTCTGAAAATATTATTAGTATAATTTACCCATCCCACGGGCTTACTCTTTATAGATTAATTTAATCTAATTAAGAATTATAACGTCAAAAAACCAATTAAGAAGTTATTAGGCAAAAATAAACATTAATCATTATTAACAAATAATAATAACATATCATTATGGGCCAAAATTTTTTAATTATCTTCTGCATTTTCTCCTGCTCCCTGTATCTAAATAACACATTTGTACTATTATAACCAATTAATTATTAGCGAATTCAATTCTATAATTTTTTTTAATCATTTTTTTTTTGGTTATTATGTTGATATTTAATAAAAATATTAAGAAGCTAATAGATTTGATAAAAAAATAAAATTTTCTTTGGCTTATAAGTTCAAAAATAAATTAAAAAAGCTCTGCTAATTTGATTTATTTTTAAATTAATTAATTTTTTTTTTTTAAAAAAAGCGAAACCAAATACCATCTTATTATGGGCCATGGCTTCTGGGATTTTGACCCTCCAAATGGTCCAACTAGAGAGAGGAACTAAATGTGCTCCGACTAGAGGCCCAACTACAATTCCACGTGGCAGCCAGCTAGACCCTGCTCATACTGAAAGGCATTTTCTGCTTTTGGTTTTTTCGGGCTGGGAGGCCAACTGAATTCAAACTCGCTCCCCCGCTCACTCACTCGTCGCTCGCTGAACATTCAGCAATTCTTCCCCTTTCTCGATAATCCAAGCAAGATATTTCGGATTCAGAAGTTCAAAAAGGATCAAATCGAAATGCTTCACGAACTCCTGCTGGCTTTGTTGGGTTACACCGGAGATCTCATAATCGACGAGAGAGAGCACCGGAAAGCTCTGGGCATAAACTCATTCTCTGATCAACCCGCCTTCAAGCTCGCTCCTGATATCTCCTTCGTCCAACGAAGCGATAGGTACAGAATAGTGTGCATTTTAAGTCGTTAACTTTTTTTTTTTTTTTTTTTTTGTAAACGCTTACGCAACCTTAAGAAAGAAAATGGACGAATTGTGGATTGCAGGGATCTTATTGAGAGGGATAATTACCTTAGGGTTTTACTACAGAGAGCTCGATCGTTTTGCAACCAAGTCTCGGAATTTTAGTTGGGTTAGGTCTCCCTATCTCGCAACTTCCCAGACTGATCATGACTTGTCCAACTCCCAAACCCTAAAACCCAGTGTCTACCGCAGGGCCATTGCTAATGGCATTGTGGAGATACTTTCAGTGTATAGGTCAGCTGTTCTGCACATTGAACAAAAACTCTTGTCGGAAACTATACCCATTTTGGCTACTGTTACTCAAGGCCTCACGAAGGTTGGTTCTGGTTCTTGAATTCACTCTCTCACTATTAACACCTTTCATTTTCACTCTCAAAATGTTTCCTTTATCTTTGGGTTGATCGTTTATTTATCTCTTTTGTTCAGTTTTTTCTTCTCTTGCCGCCTCTCTATGAACTCATTCTGGAGATTGAACGGGATGATATTCGTGGAGGACAACTGCTAAATCTTTTGCACAAACGATGTCACTGTGGCGTCCCTGAGCTGCAAGCTTGCATCCGAAGGTATTCACTTACACCTCAGTTCTCCCTTTGTGGGGTACACTCTTGAACTGCTGATTGCACTGGAATGCTTGTTTGTGTTCTCCTGTTATACTTTGTATCTGTTCTGGCCTTTATGTGTCTATGTGAATGGTGGGAATTCTCCAAAAGAAATGGTATTATCCTACATGCTTAGAGTTGGAGCATGATCTGAAACTATTTGAGGGTTGTGTTCAGCATTCAGTTTAAGTCTTCTGAACTGCAGGACTGCATAGATGCTTGGGTAATAGAAATAGTTTCTTTACTTACTTCAGAGCTGGTAGTGTATATGTTTAAGATGCCAGGATCTTCTTGTGAATTGCTGGACTACGTAAATGCTTGGGTAATAGAAATAGATTCTTGACTTACTTCAGAGTTGGTTTCCTGTTTACTAATCAATTTGTGTTCAAAGCATAGGCTGCTTTGGCATGGGCATCAGGTCATGTACAATCAGCTTGCATCATGGATGGTCTATGGGATTCTTCACGACCAGCATGGAGAATTTTTTATTTGGAGGTAAGGGTCCATGTATATTCTTTATCCTCAGACAAAACCAAACTATTCTTACATTGTTTTTTTGGTGTGATATGGTTTCTAGTCGGTAAGAGACGATATAAGATAGTTATGCAAGGTTCTATGGTGCTTTTAGATGCTTATGGTTTAAGTAATCTGATCAATAGTTTGCTTAAAATATGACTTTAATAAGCTTCCTACCTCAGTAAATTCATATATGCAGATGCTTCATGAGATTATTTTTGAAACCTGTTTCTTCTCATATGTCACGTGCTTATGCCTTTTTCTAAACTGTTAAAACAATGGTACAGCTGTTTCCCAGTTGATTGAACGTTGTTCACTAAGTAGTTTATAGTGTTAACAAGTGTGCAATACTAAATGGAGGAAAAAGAGAAAATCTACTGAGCGTGATATGTAAATGATTGAAATTGGAGTAAGCTAATCTGAAAGTTATTGGACAGCTGTTTCTTGTACCAGTAAGTTGATTGTCAAAATTTCCTTATGAGTAGGAAACTTTAACTTTCCTCTGGATGTGCTTGGCTGTTCTGTCAACAGCTCAAGGTTTTTTTACTGTTACCATACTCTTTGAGTGTTGATAAGATCAGAAAGTATCACTTCACAAAAAACGGGGAATAGAAAGAGGAAGACATGTAAGAAGCTGGTAGAAAAAGAGAACATTTATTTGTCCCTGTGTGACAACTTATAATATCTTTGGCTCCAGAAGAACTGTTGGCATTGGAGTTTATTTACGTTTGTTGGGAATATAACATAAAAATTTGTAGTCTATTTTATACGCTAGAAATACTATTTTCTCCCAAAAAAATATTACAAATGCTATGGGTATCTATTGGACTTCAACTTCTCTAGGTTCCTTGATGCTATTTCTGATATTCATGCACTCTATCAAAGAAAAACTTTATGTATGATTATACACCTAAAAGTGATAATGCAGTTATCTTACTTCTCAGGCAGGAAGATAAGGATATAGAACATGGCACATCTCAGCCAGATATTTCTGAGAAGTTAGCATGCATGACAACTGATGATACATCTTTAACAGATTGGCACTTGGGATTTCATATTTCTTTGGTATCTTTGCGCTCTCTTGCATTTTATGTTTATCATGTTCAACACTTGTTATTTTGTGCAATTTGTTCCTTGTTCTATCTGGATGGTAGAAAATGATGTCAGTCTTGATGGCAGTCTTGATGGTAGTGATGACAGTCTTGATGGTACTGATGACAAGTGGATTCTGTATTAAGCCTTCATGCATAAGAGTGCTAGTATCTTGGTTCTTTTGTAGAATTATGAACAAAAAGTGCTGCATCCACAAGCTGCATCAGTGGTTATATCAAAGTTTTTTTGCTTTAATTTGGTGCATACGCCTCCTTTTTTCTCTCTTGTTTTCTCCCCTTCTGTCAATGTTGCTAGATATGATTGCAGTGGATTCTCTTAGTTTTCATTGTGCTGATTATTAATGCTTCTAAATGTTCTCAACTGTATAGATGGTCTCAAATATGTGTACAAGTTACATTGCGCGTAGCCAAAAATGATTCAAACTTCTCCGACTTGAACAGGGTGATACATTGGTTGTCCATAAAAGATTAAAAAATTCATCAATAGTCTCTTCTACCATTATTATTTTACATTAAATATTTTTATAACATCTTGCACTATCTATTTGCTGCTCATCTCATGTTTGTCCAGCTATCAAGTTTATACTGAACAAATATTCCTTTTTGCCCTCTTGGCTTATGTCTGAACTTTCATTGCATCTCCAGGTTCATTAATTTTTTCTTTCTTTTTAATTTTAACTGGGACCCAAATGTTGCCTAATTCTTGGCAAATATATTTTCCCAATTTTTTTTCTTCTGCTACACTTTTGCTTCTAATTCTGAATTTTGAATATAACCTTGTTTGTAGTTTTTGACACTTCTACTGTTCTTTTGCAGGATATGCTGCCTGAGTATATTCACATGCGTGTCGCTGAGTCTATTCTTTTTGCTGGCAAAGCTATCAGGGTTCTCCGTAACCCGAGCCCTGCTTTTCGATTTCAGGATTCTGTATACCATCAGCAGGTTACAGAAGCCTCCCAGAAAAGTCAGGCATCTACTGAGCGTTTCCTTTTTCAAAACAATCCATTGTTAGATGACGAAGTGATTGGAGAAGAGCTTCTTCCACAGCCTGAGGCTGATAAGATTGAAAATATGCTTCAGGACCTGAAGGTTCTCTTTCATTATTAATATCATTAGATGTAATATACTATCTGCTTGATTTAGTCATTTACTGCTGATAACTGTCTGACTAGATTTGTCTATGTCATCGACT